AGGGGAGCCGGGCGGGGAGCGGGTCAGTGACGGCGTGATGGCTGAATGTGGGAGGGAGAGAGAGCCGTGATGGGGGGAACACAATAACCGTGTCCGTGGGGTAATAACTGTGATAAATGTGTCCGGGGAGGTGGTAACTGTGACGGGGGATATAATAACCATGCTTGTGGGGTAATAACTGTGTGTGGGCTGATAACCGAGTTTGTGGGATAATCGTGTGTGTATGGGCTAATAACGGAGTTTGTGGGTTAATAGTGTGTGTATGGGCTAATAACTGAGTTTTTGGGATAATAACTATGTGTATGGGCTGGTAGCCGAGTTTGTGGGTTAATAGCGTGTGCAAGGGCTAATAACGGAGTTTGTGGGATAATAGTGTGTGTACGGGCTAATATCCGAGTTTCTGGGATAATAGCGTGTGTATGGGCTAATAACGGAGTTTGTGGGATAATAGTGTGTGTACGGGGTAATAACTGAATAATAGTGCGTGTATGGGCTGATAACCATGAGGGGATAGAACAGCCGTGTGTGTGAGTGGTTGTAACTGTGATCGGGTGCTGTGGAGGGAGATGAGGGCAGTGACCCTGGGGGTTTTATTAACCATGAGTGGTGTACGGGGGTAGGAACTCTGAGGTGAGGGGTGTTTAATAACTGTGAAGGTGTGGGATGATAACCCTGAGAGGCAGGGGAAGGTGGGGTAAAACCGTGGAGTATTTGGGGGAAAGAGGGGCATTAACCATGAGAGGAGGAATACCATGAGGGGGTGTGTGTGTTTGTGGGGTGATAACCATTAGGGGTTGTGTAGTTGTGTAAGGGATAATAGTGAGCCTGTTTTGAAGCTAAAATTCTCTTCGATATATGTAGCATCTGTTGCATTTGAGGAAGTTGTATAGAGGTTAAGGGAATCCCTATAGCTGGTTTGGGTAAAACTGGGAACACTGGGCAAGTGCTTTTGGCTTTTCTCTATTGTGAGTCTCGGTGTTGTTGCTGGAGGGCTGAAGGGCAGCCCCTTAAGCCTTGGCTCTGGTAACGAGCACCAGCCTGTATAAGTTTCCAGCCTCTTGGAAATACTTGCACTCTGTGCTCTCAACTGATATCTGCAAAAACAAGATCCAAGCTGCAGATGACAGTAGAAGGGTGTTAGCTGTGTTCCTCAGTCAATAAATATCACAAACCAGCCCTTTTGGAGTGCCTGAATATTCCATATGAAATAGATATTCACAGATACCCTGCAGGTGTATTCCTGACTGTGCCCTGAATGTTCTGAACCAACATGAAACATCTCAGTGCCTCCAAATCAAGCTTCACTTGCATCATAAAATTCTGTGAAAGTGTTTCCAATTGAATCTGTGTTTCAGTCTGCCCTTGAAGCTCTGTTTGGAACCAGTGTGACATCAAATGTCTGTAAGCAAGGATTGTGTTCAGCAGAAAGTTCTGTGCAGGTGATTTCCTCCTTGGACTGGAGCTTTCTCATTCCAGAGAACTGCATTTGTTGGGTTTGTGTAAAACTAAAGCCAGTATGATCCAGTGGATGTTTCACGAGGACTTTTTCCTTTCAGGCACTTGGACAGCACAAGTATTTCCTGCTTTTCCTTGTAACAGAGCTGCCCTAGAAGGGAAGAGCCCAGAGTTTCCCTCTGACAGTATGGAATGCTAGCTTGGAGCTCATCTGACACACCTGAGGAGGTAAAGGCTTCTTTATTCAATTTTAGTGCCTTGTCTTTAGCCAGATGCTGTTTTCTGCAAAGCCTGGGCAATGGCTGATAATGTGAGGCTGTGGGTACTGTGGGATTGTTTTGTGTGTGCTCATTCCATACTCACTCTGTAGGAACCTGTGACATTCCAGATTTAGATGTCTCAATGGATATGTGGAGCTACTTCCATACTTGCCTGGTGTCCATATGGCTGCACAGACTGTACATCTATTCTGCTGTTGCTCTTGGGATCAGCCTTTGGATTGTCATTCACTTCACCACCACCAGAGCCAAAAAGAAGGTATCTGAGCCTGTCAGCACTTCTCTGAGAGACCCCAAAAACCTGGGTGGGAGTGAGAAGTTACTGGATAAAGGCACCTGCCATAGGCCTGTTGAGGGTGTTGCACATCCCAAATGCAGTTTGGTTATCTGGTTATGATCCTCAGCCTGGCTTGTTTGTGTCTGTGGGTCACTGAATGCTCTTGTTGCTGTGATGTTGGGGCAGAGCTCAGCAGGACACACCTCACACTGTTCCTGGGAGAATGTGTCCCCCTGGATTGCTCTGTCACTCCAGGTAAACCCCTCTGCCTGTGCCCAGGGTTTGCACCTTCATGTTTTCATGATGCTCGTGGCAGGGTTGGGCTGGTTTTGGGATGGGAGGGAATTAGGCCATTCAGGAGTTGAAAACCTCTTCCTGCAGGTGGGTAAAGATCTGCTGCAGGACTTGGAAGGTTCAGCTGGATCCTGCTGCCTCCTGGACAAGTGGGTGTTGTAGCATGGCTTGGTCAGGAGCACAGGTCCTGGTGTGTTTGTCTGGGTGTGAGGGGAACCAGAATGCTTTGACTGTTGCTGAGAGTGGCCCCAGGATTTGAGTTTTAAATGCTCTTGGTTTGACAGCCCTTGGAGAAGGGTGAGCAGTCCCGTGGGAGCCCCTCTGCCCCTGAGGGAGCATCAGACAAACTGGGCAATGGATGTGCCCCCCGTCAGGCACAGAGGATCCATGTTGCTGGAGTGAAGATCTTCTATGGCTCTCAGACTGGCACAGCAAAGGTATCTGTACTTTTATTGCACATCTGTGAAATTGCTTTGAAATATTGTTGGGATCTGAGAACCTTGCTTGCCTTAAAACACTGCCCTGGGTACAGATCTGGGAGTTCATCAGTGCATTCATTAGCTTCTTACAATCATTGCCCAACATGCAAGATGAGTGAAAAATTAAATAAAAATAACAATTTTCTTCCTCCCTTTAAGCAAGGCATGCAGTAGAGACTGATTATAAACTAGAAGTTCACTCTTGCACTATAATTGTAATTTTCTAGCAAGACTTTATAGAGAGAAGTGCTGGGTTTGGTGCTTTCTCATGAAGAAATGTAATTTGTGTGTGTAACTGTGACATTATAATGTTGGAACTCTCAGTCAGTGTACTTTAACACAAACCATCTTTGCTTTAATGTGAGGAATGGCAGTGCCAGTGTCCAGGCCCCCTGTGTCATTATTCTTCCTGTGCTGGGAGAAGTCTCGTGGCTGAGCACAGCAGGGCTTGTGGGGCTTGAAGTAATTGATACCTTCCAATGTTTCTTTGTTCAGAGATTTGCCAAAGCTCTGGCTGAAGCTGTTTTTTCCCTTAATTTGCCTGTGGAAGTCATTAACATGGAAGACTATGATCCAGAAGATGGTTTAGTGGAGGAGGTGGGTATGGCATAAACACCAGTAACAAGTACAAATTTTTCCTGGGGTTGTCAAGGCTATTTCCCTCTTGTATTTCTCTCCTGTTGTTCTGGAAATCCCCAAAGCTTTGTGTTGAATTGCTTCCCTACCTTTGCAAATGTAGCCCATCAGCCCTCAGCAGAAAATGTCTGTATTTTGAGAATTTCAAAGCATCAGTTGGACATTTTGCTGTGACAGTGACTCTGCATGAGCCAGTTCTGTAACTCAGGGGTGAGCGGGTGAGAGTGGCTGCCCCAGGTGCTCTGTACACCTGGGCAAGGGTCAGAACCAGAACAGCAAATTCTGCAGTGATGCCTCTGCAGCCTTTAGAGGCTTTTAAGATAGAAACTCCTTGTGAGATATATTTATGTGTAGTAATCCTACATGGGTTTTTCCTGATGGGTTTTTCTTCTGTGATTATTGATAGTTGCTCCTTGAGAGTTTTAATTAATCCTAACAAAAAGTTTTGGTGGAAACTTCATGCTGGGAATTCCTTCAGGTGTCAGTATGAATTGCCAGCATTTGATACTGCCCCTAACACACCTGTAAATGTGAGGTTGAGGAGTCTGAAATATTTATCCATGGGGCACTTCCCTGATGAAGGAGTTGGGTCAGGAAGCTGCTGATGGGGCTGGGTGTCCAGGTTTGCTCTGTCACTGTGTCCCTGTTCTGCCTGACCTCTCTCTGCTAATTTAAGGTGCTGTGCAGATTGTTCAGCCCCCTTGGGATTGTCACCTGCACCATGCCACCCCAGCACCCCAGCCTTGTCTTTTGATTTCTCCCAGCTGCCTGGCTGTTGTAACTCTTTGCTTTAGAAGAAGGTTCTGGAAAATGCAGTGATTTGTTTATTTCCCCTTCTGTCCTGTTTGTGTGAGCAGACAAGCAGCAGGAACATCTGTGTGTTCCTGGTGGCCACCTACACCGAGGGGCAGCCCCCAGAGAGTGCAATGTGGTTCTGCAAGTGGCTGGAAGAGGCAGCCAATGATTTCCGTGTTGGGAAGAGCTTCCTGCAGGGCCTGAGATACGCCGTGTTCGGGCTGGGCAACTCGGCCTACGTGGATCACTTCAACACAGTGAGTGTCCCTGCTTGGCCTCTGCTCCTCAGAGCTCAGCTGCATGCAGGGCACCCAGCCCCAATGAGCCTGCTGCTCTGGCTGGGATTGCAGCTGTTGTGCTGACTGGGTGAGGTGCTGGGTTTAGGGCATGGGCAGAATCTCAGAGCCACTGAGTTTGGGAAAAACCTCCAAGATCACTGAACCCACCGTGTGCCCCATGCCCACCTTGTCCCCAGCCCAGAGCTCTGAGTGCCACCTCCAGCCCTTCCCTGGGCACCTCCAGGGATGGGGACTCCAAACCTCCCTGGGCACCCCCTGGCAGTGCTGAGCCCCCTTTCCATGGGGAAATTCCTGCTGTTGTTCCCCCTGAGCTGCCCTGGCCCAGCCTGAGGCCGTTCCCTCTGCTCCTGTCCCTGTTCCCTGGAGCACAGCCCGACCCCCCGGCTGTGCCCTCCTGTCAGGAGCTGTGCAGAGCCACAAGGGCCCCCTGAGCCTCCTTTGCTCCAGGCTGAGCCCCTGCCCAGCTCCCTCAGCTGCTCCTGGGGATCCAGACCCTTCCCAGCTCCATTCCTTTCCCTGGACACCTCCAGCCCCTTGCTGTGTTTCTTGGGATGAGAGCCCCAAAACTGCCCCCAGCACTGGAGGTGCCTGAGCAGTGCCAGCACAGGGGACAGTCACTGCCCTGGTCCTGCTGCCACACCAGTGCTGCTGCAAGCCAGTGCCATTGGCCTTGTTGGCCACCTGGGCAGTTCAGCTTTGAAGCAATTGGATTTCAAATGGGAAATGAGTCCCACAGGCACTGGAAGGTGTGGTAACACATTTGGTAAATCCTTATTGAGTTCATTTCCCAGCTTTGAAAGCTTTCTGCAGTCACCTGAGGGCACAGCACTGTAAACTCTTGCTCTTGCTGCCTTCTAAATGTGGCTCCTTGATATGATGTGAGTTTTAGCTTTATTCCCTGATGTGAGCTGTGTCAGAATCTCTGCCTGGTCGTTGTTCTCATCTCACACAGAAAATTGGCATCACTTGTCACAGGTTGTGTTCAGAGCTGGGGCTGTGTGTCACACATGACTGTTCTGACCAACAAGCACCACACAGAGCAGTCTGTTCCCAGAGCCCCTCCCTCCAGCCCAGGGGTGGCAGAGGGATTTCCCAATGCAGTCTGAGGGGCTGTGGTGCTGGTCAGGCTGCCATGGGTCTGTGCTGAGCCAGCACCTGAGAGGGACTTCCCAGGCCCCTGCCCTGCAGTGCTGTGCAGCTCTCTGGCTCTTCCCAGGGCTGATCTTTGCTTTTCTGGTTGGCTGCTTGCACTTGGCCCTGGTTTAATTTCCTTTCCAACCCTTGCTCCTGGCCTAGGTTGCAAGGAGGATGGACAGGTGGCTGTGGATGCTCAGTGCCAGCAGGATCATGGCTCGTGCTGAGGGGGACTGCAATGTGGCCCAGAGCAAGCACGGCAGCATTGAGGCTGACTTTGAGGCTTGGAAGGACAAATTCCTCACTCGGCTCAGGGCACTCTGCAGGGGGGAGAAGAAGCCCTGCAGGGGCAAGTGCAAGAAGGGGAAGTGCAAAACTCCAGGGAAGCAGAGCAAGGAGAGCTCAGACCGTGAACATGGGACGTCAGAACAGGATGATACTGAGGTACAGCCAAAATCCTTGAGGCCTTATTTTATTGGGAGCACTGTTTGACTTCTCCCCTTCTTCCTGCAGTCCAGAGGGCTGCTGTGGGAGCCTGGTACTTGTTCTGGAGCAGGGGGAGAGGAGAGCTGAGATCCCATGGCAATAACAAGTAGAACGAGCCATCTGAAAAAAGGACCAAAGAGTTAGTGATGGAGCCAGGCTTGATGGCATTTGTGTGATGAGGGAGTCCTGCTCCTGGCTGGGGACAGATGCTCCAGGGAGCCAGGCTGTGTTCTCAGCAGAGCCTTTGTCCCAAGGCCAAGGGGGCCCTTCAGTTCCCTTGAGTTATTAACCTGTTTCTACTTCAACCCTGTGAAGCTCAGCTGCTCTGCCTGTATCCCAGGGTTTTCCAAAGGCAGCTGGGGTGTGTTACCTGAGCAAGTCCTGTATGTCCTTTGTGTGTGTCTGCCTGTAATCATTTCTCTCTTCTGGAGTGTTTATTGATTGCAGATTTTGACTAAGAAATCCTCTCTATTGCTCTCCAGTGCAAGACCCAGAGCTGCTGTAGCACTTTAATCCTCCCTCGAGCCATACACTGTGGGTTGGGAGTTATTGCTGGGTTGAATTTTGTAGGAAAGTAAATGGTTCTTCTGGCTGGGTTTGGGAGTGCTGGCTGCTGCAGAGCAGGAGGAATAAATCTCACTGTCAGCAAGGCTCTTGGGTTTAAAGGGGTTCAGGGTTCCATATCCATCCTACAGGTTTTTGGTAGGCTATTGCTTGTTTTGAGAGGTCTTTACTGATGAGCAGAGCTCATTTCACTGGTTAGCTTAGTCTTACATTTAACAGTGAGATGAATGCTTTATTTTTTCCGCTGCTCTCTCCCACAGGGAGAAGAAATGTTTGAAACCCCTAGTGAGGAGGAAGCTGGAGACACGAATTCTGTCATTGATGTTGAAGATCTTGGCAATATCATGGGCCACATGAAGAAAGCAAAGGTACTGCTGTTAAAGGGGGATGGAATGGTCAGGTCTTGTTCACTGAGCAGCTGGATTGATTAAAACATAACTGGCTGGATTTGAATCTGTGGGGTTTGGTTAGAGGGAGAGTAAAACATGAGCCATTGAAGAACCTGGCTCCAAAAAGAACATCTTTGAAGGAGTGTTGGATGTAGTCACAGACTGACTGTAGCTTGCTCAGCAAGCAAATGCTGCACTGATAACCTGGGACTTCCAATCTGAGGGAAGATCTTCTTGCAGAGCTAACTCTGCATCTGGCTGCAAATCTCTGCACTGAGATTCCCAGTGCAGTGGCTGAACACAGGTCCTGTTCCTGTAGTGCCTGTGGGTTGTCACTGAAATGCAGGTGTGAGGGAGGACAGGGGCAGAGCTGCAGGTGCAGCAGGAACACCCAGCTTGCCTTGCTCACTGCTGCCCTAGGGTGAGGTCTGTGCTTCAGACACTGGGCCTGTCACACAGCCCTGTCACACATCAGTTCACACAGCCCCACCTCCTGCTCCATCTTGCTGGGTGTGTTCCCAGTGCTTCTCTTGGTGTCCCTTTCCTGTGCTCAGTCTGAGCTGGGATGTGTCACACTCACCTCACTCACACCAAGCCCTGGGGACAGGGAGCAGCTGCAGGGCCTTGCTGTGCTGCCCAGTCTTTGCTGGCTGAGCAGTTGTTGGTCAGGGTGGCCTGTGGTGTGCTCTGAGCACATCTGCTGACCCCCTTTGCTCTCAGTGCCCTTTGCTGTCATTGGTCACCCTTGAGCTGCTGGCCATGCCCTTCTCACCAAGCTGACTCTGTAGTGACACATGTGGTGTGTCTGCACTGTGGGGTTTTCACAGCTCTTTCCCAACATGGGGCCCTGGCACAGGGTGCCCAGAGCAGCTGTGGCTGCCCTGGATCCCTGGCAGGCCAGGCAGGATGGGGTTGGAGCAGCCTGGGGCAGTGAAGGTGTCCCTGCCTGTGGAATGAGATGGTCTCAGGTCCCTGCCAATCCAAAGTGTTCTGTGACTGTGTGAAAATCCAGCAATGTCCTCGGTGCTGTGAGCTGAGGTGGCACTGCTGGGCTCCCTGGAGGCAGGCTGTGCTCACAGGAGGGTGCTTGCAGAGCAGGAGCTTACAAGGGGAGCCTGGGGATCTCTGTTGGTGCCCTCAGGGAGGGGAAGGAGGTGAATCCAACGCTGCTGTTCGTAGGCAGCTCTGTGAGGAGAGGAGCCCCCGCGATGGGGCAAGGCTGTCAGAGGGATTGCTTGTGCACTGCAGCTCGTCAGGGAGGGCTGGGCAGCCTCTGGCTTCCCTTCGGAGGGAGAAAGGACCGCAGTTCCTCGTGGAGAGCATTAACACTGTTCTGTCTCCTCTCTCCTGCGCTCGCCACTAGAGGTCAGCGGCCCAAAGGGAGCGGGGTGCCGCGGCAGCTCCGGGGCCGTGGTGACAGCACTGGCACTGGCACCGTGGTGAAGAACTGGCACTGAGCTTTCCCTGCCTGACAGAATATAGCAGCATCGTGATCGAGGAGCAGTGTAACCCGGGAAAAGCACGTATCATAGGCCAGTTTACAAATAAAATGTGAGCACAGCAATAAAATACTTTCTGCTGTTCACTGGCAGAAATCAGTGCTGAGGTCAGTGTGGTGTGGGTTTGTACACAGGCAGGGAAAGTTCACTGCTGGCTGTGCCTTGGCTGAGGCAGGAGCCAAACTGATTTATCTCCAGCCTTCCTGGTGCTCTGCTGGAGCAGGGAGAGTGTTGGCTGTGCTTGTGTTCTGCAGTAACTGTGACTCAGGGTGCTGTGGCCCAAGTGCCACCCTGGTCAGAGGGGCAGCTGCTGCCTGGGCACAGACACTCACCTGGGGCTGGAAGCTGCAGGTGTTGATCCTTTGGGCCTTTTCCTTGGAGGAGCTGGCAGGGCTGTTCTGCTGTGAGAGTTGAACTCTGCTCTCCTGCAGAGGATCCAATCTTGAGGGAGCAAGTGTTGGTGTGGGCCTGGGAGCTCACTCTGAGTGTGCATAAGGGCTCCTCTGTTGAAGTCCCATCCCCTTTGTAGGCTCTGAGAGGTTTCCTGTACCAGGTGAGTCGTTCTGCCTTTGGCCATTTTAGCCATTTTCCTCTCATGGCATGCTGGGCTGTGTAAAGTGGATGTGACACTCTTGTTTTCCCTGACCTGACCTGTTGTCCTGCAGGACTCCTTGCCCACACAGCCAAGTGCTCTGGGATCTGAACTGCTCACACACAGGTGAAAAAGTCTGAGAGGAACTTTGGTATCTGAAGGGTTATGTCACAGACAGTTCTTCCTCCTCAGAGTTCCTTGGGTCTGGAATGTGCCTGACACTTCCCAGCAGGAGTTCAATGTGTGTCATTGTTGGATATTCACCCCTCTGCCTATGGGATGTGGAGCAGCAGGTTCTGCCTTGTGCTTTGTAGTTAATTTGAAATTGTTTTGGGTCCAGCTTTCATCTCTTGTGCATGGATTGGCTCTTGTGAGGCTCACCAGCAGGTAAGGCAGGCACAGATAGTCAGAATTCCTTATTGTCCTGCCTTTTCTGGGATGAGGCTGTGGGGGATCTAATAAATCCTTGCTCACATCTCTGCTGGTCATCTTCATTTCATTTTGCATCTCTCTTTTGCTGTTTGCCTTGACAGAAATCAAGGCTGAGATTTGTTTTACAGCTTTGCCCCCTCCCCCCCCCATATTCTGCAGGTTTGTAAGGTGCTGTCAGGGGGCTTGAAGCAGGTGCTGGATTCCTGCAGCCACTCTGACCAGGCAGATGGGTTCAGGAGTTCCAGGGCAATGCCACAAGCTCTCTGCCAGGTTGAATTGTAGCTGTTACAGACTGAGCTAGAGAAGAGATGGATTTTTGAAGAGCTGCTGAGTGTGAAGTTTCACAGTTCATGGTGATGGTGTCTTCTGCACACTGAGTGTGAGCCCAAACTGACACAGGGTTGGGTAGATATTGGTAATATATTCAACTATATTAACTGGTAGCTGATCCAACAGCAAATTCTATGTGAGTTTACCAACTCTCATAATATGTGCTGGTGGTTTTTAATGCCTTTAAGAATGAGGTGGACTTTGGAGTTTTGCAGTTGTGGCACACTTTGCCTTTCCTGCAGAGTTCTTCCCTGATGTGGATTTGTCAGGGAAAGTGAACTCTGAGGGTGTTGGTGGCCTGCAAGGTGCCATTAATCACAGGGACACCAGTTCTTAGTGTGGGTTATCTCCCCCAGCTGGGAGATCAGCTGGAAGGACAGATCCATCTACACTCATTCCCAGGGAATGGAATAACTTTATTAACCTTCACATTTCTAAACTTCAGCCATGAGTAATAGCAATAATAATGTCCTGATTCCTTGTTTGATGGATTTGGAAGCAATCAAAGGAGCATATTTGCTGATGCAATTTTGAGATGAATGCTCATGTTTTCTACAACAAGCAGTGTAATGATGCTGACAGGCTATTTGCAATGTAAAGAGAGAGGGGTTTATAGGAACACACTGAGAGTTTCCAGGAGCCAAACCCTGCCCCAGAGTGTTCAGTTTGTGTCCCCTGGTCCCTGAAAAGTCACCCTGGGTTGGCCAGTGTGAATCTCAGGAGCCTGGGGCTGCTGTGGGAGCCCAAACCTTGCAGCCCTGGAGGAGGGAACTCCTGAGGGAGCTGGGTTGGTTGGGGTGGGACAGTGGGCAGTGGGGTATTTAAGGCCTAAGGTTTACACACCAAGGCTCATGTGCAACTTTGTGCTACAGCTAGGAACTTTTTAAAGGAGGAAGAAATAATCAGTGATGTGTTAATCAAATGGAACAAAATATGTATGAGTACAAACTTTCAGTTAAAACTGATGTGGACAGATCCAAAAGCTTCAGCTTTTAATGGGTGAAGGATTCCTTTATGAAAAATGTGCCCTTATCTGCAGCAGCTGCTCTGGGCCAGATTCTGACCTGTGCTACTCTGGCTCAGAATTCAGTGTGAGTCTCCATTTTAAAATGAGCTTTAAGAAATTAAATTTAAACTTCTTGGGGACTACTTCTGTCGTTAACAGCAGGGTTTGCCATAGGGACACTTCACCCTTCTCCTTTCCTGGGTTCAAGTCTTTTTTCTCTAAACCCTGGCTAATGGAAAGGATTACAATTGCTAAACAGAATTACAAGAGATCTTGAGGCATTTTCTGAGGAAGGCTTGTGAGTGATAAAAGGGAAAAAAGAACCCCAAAATAACTTTAATGTAACCTTTGTCTGGATGTGCAGTCTGCAGGCTCTGACATGTGATGTGCAGTGACTTCCTTGGTAAAGGCATTTGAGAGCTCTCAGTGTTTATTTGCAGCCTTTTCCTGACCACAGGAAAAGGAGATGGTCAGGACTGACCCTGCAGCAGCCCAGCCCTCCTGCTCACCATTTCTCACCAACTTTGTGCTCCATTTCTCAGGTAGTTTTCTTTTTCTGTGCATTTTTAAAATTTCCTGCTTGTCTAATGACAGATTTGAGCAGATTTCCTGAACTTCTACAAATCAAAGCAGCAGAGCCTCTCTGCTGTGGAGCCAGGCTGGAGAGCTGGGGGTGCTCACCTGGAGAGGGATCCATGGAGAGCTCAGAGCCCCTGGCAGGGCCTGAGGGGGCTCCAGGAGAGCTGGAGAGGGGCTGGGGACAAGGATGGAGGGACAGGACCCAGGGAATGGCTTCAAATGGACAGAGGGCAGGGATGGATGGGATATTGGGAATCAGGAATTGTTCCCTG